AACAGACAAACTGGGAGTACAAATATAACAGTAGGAGTCACATCAGAAGCTGAAAGCCATGTTATGCTGCTATCGCTGGCACAAACGAGGCCACATCTGAGGTCTTGTGATGTGACCTAAATATTAAGGGCAAACTCTACCATTTTAAGTGTTTGCAGCTGTATTTCTGAAAAATATGATTTCTGGAGCGTAAACATGAGCAGTTGCAAATGTTCAGACATATTACTTGTGGCAGGACAGCACATGCTAGGCCTAGAAGAGTGCTATAAATGTCCTTCCAGCTTCACCCACAAGCACTCACTTCAGAGTTCCCATCTGCATGACTGTAAACACAAGGAGAAGTCTAACACAGCTTCCACTGAAACCAAACTCTGACAAAACTCTATGTTAAAAAGAGCAGCCAGGCTGAAATTAAACTCAAATAAATCTTGATTTATTCTATCCTTTAGACAGTTGGCCCCTCAAAAAAACGTATTTATCAAAACAGCCTGTCATCAGTAAGATAGATGACTAGCCCTTAAACTACTCAAGTGACAGCATGGCCTATCTTTGTCATCAGTAAAATGAGCTTGATTACTAGCTTTACTAAATGCTATCTAAATTATTCTGTCCATACTGTCAAATGTTATTCTTACACAGAGTGGGTAGGATTGGGATGGCCTGGCTAACTTAAGTTCCAAATAGTACTATTGAGGGAAAACAACCACATCACTGGAATTATTTACTTAGCTTTACAACCTACTTTTTCCTGTTCATAAATTTGGGGATTCATAAGAGTAATAATATACCAGAAAGTATGTTGTCCAGAAAATAACCACACCTCTCAGAGGCTGGAGGCAATGGGAGTTCAGCTCAACTGTGCTCTTCATTCTAGACAGTTGCCTCTTAGATGTTGTCTCAAGATGCATTCATTTCGCAACCATGCTCTTTTTCTTCGCTAAAGCAAGAGGGATCATAAGATGGCTATTTTTAAAAAGACCAACTTAACAAATTAGGCCATGTCTAACACCAATGTGGCTGAATGGAAGAATAAAGACTGTTTGCATGTACGTTTGTGTGGGTGGGGTATCCATGCAACCTGCTGAGCAGTCCCAGGGCTGCAGTTGCATCTGGCTGGTTAACAGTATGGAGTCATACAGTTTCAACAGTATCATCCAAGGCCTGTCTTGAGCCTAGGCAGCCTATTTGGCTATCACAAGGAGGGCACAGCAGAGTTCAATCCCTCTCTCACACACTAGTGCCCTAACTACTAGGGTATCTCGCCAGAGAAGATCACACTGAATTGCACAGAAGAGGAGCAGAGAGGGGGCACTTACACGTTATACATCAAATACACATTGGAAGAACAACAGAAACAATAAATTTCATAAGACATCCCTCACAGCCCCCACAATCCAGCCCACCTTCCATCGGATGAAAGCCAACTACCCTCTACTTGAATAGGGGAGCCCACATATCCCATGGCTGAGGACAGTTTTCATTTTGCACAGCCCAAGCACACACTTTTACCACAAAGCTGCTGCACAGAAATGCCCTTCGCTCCTCCTCCAGGCTCTAAATGGATGGGGGCACCATGTTTGCACATGCAGTCTGGTGCTACACCAGTAATAGAGGCAGACGAGCAGGCATGACCAGGTGTCTTACATTCCCTGCTGGTTACTTTGAGGCAATTTCCTGGTCAGCATGTAGACTTTCTGCTCTTCAGAAGAACCTCCACTGATTATAAATGAAGGATATACTGCAATCTGGCTTGCCCTGTTAGGATTGTGTAAATCTTTTGTAGTTGTTTATATATTGGAAGTCTTCCTCTATATTATTTTATGGTGATTTTAAAAGACTTCTCAGTGATTTTAATGTCTTAAATCTGCCACTTCATTTCTCTTTGAAGCAAAAGTATGGGACTTAAGTGATGAGTTTGTATTGCTGTTTAAAATGTTGTATTGTGAGGCATTTATATTAATTTTAAACCAAAATGTGTTTCTTTAGTAGATATAGGTCAGACTTAACCAAAGCTATCAGATCAGAAAGAGAGCTGTTAAAGTATTAAATATTTAGTTTTCCCTAGGTCAGAAATGCCTTCTCCTTCCTATTTTTTAGATTAATTAAAAAAAAAAATCACAATGACTAACTAACATTTTTTCTAAAAATTAAAAGAGACAAAACAAGGCTAGGGACAGTAACAGAAGTCTTGTTATTATCTCAACACATTTGTTATGGTGTACTAACTAACAATGTACCAAAACTCTCCATTTGTATTTTATGTTTTTTAATTAACATTCACTTTCAGTCTTTCTTACATCTGAAGATACCATAGATTGCAGAAGCCTAATTCATCTCACAGTTATTTGGGGCAGAAAAAGGAAAAATAAGGCCAAGTGAGGAATTATGTGTGTTCTTCACTTAAGCCAGCCAAGTGGGAAGAAAGTCTCTTGGGAATGATTGCCCAGTGTTTTGCAGTCTACTTACAGTGTTTTGTGAGGCTTTGGTGTATATATAAAAAATTAAAATGAAAGAGCTTGAGAATTTTTCAGCTGGGAATGTTATTTCCATGTCCTTGTTATCAAAACTCTCTACCAGATTTCAGTACCATATAACAAATACTGCCTCTCGTTACATTCAATACCATAAAAATTTCTGAAAGTATAAAGCTGTATCTCCTTATCTTGCAATTCAAAATGTAATTCAGAATGCAATTCATCCGGAAGGCAGTGTTGCACCAACTGAGCTCCGATTACTGACGGTTTGAAGACAGCTGGCGCTCTTTCAGCACTCAAAGCCTTCAGTATTTCTACAGATATCTTGGCTCCTCTGCTTCAAGCAAAGTCTGGTGGCCTTAAAGAGCCAAACAAGGAAACAAGGAGGACAAAGCCTAGCTATCTCATATAAAGAGGAGGAAAAAAGAGCTGTCCTGAGGAGTTGTCCAAACACCAGTAGAGGAACAATGTCTTTGGAAACAAGCAAAACAAAAATGCAGCAGCACGTTCCCCAGCTAAGCAAGAACAGAGATACAGATAATATGAACAGTGTAACAAGATGCAAGGAAGTAAAAGACCAATAAAACTGGGCAAAGGAGAGAGGGAGGTAGACAGTGAAAAAATGAACTTTAAAAGTGCAATTAACAAGTATATGAAAGAACATATACCATGTTGCAGAAATGAGAGTTAAAAACACCCAGAATCTTTCCTTGTGTAAGTAATTATCAATATCTAACCATACCATCCTATCAATAGGAATGAAGTCAATAACGAGACAATTTTATAACATATATACAAATTGGTATATAAAACAATATAGTTAAGAATCTTTTCTTTTAAGGCATCTTTGACTTTAAAGGCTTGTTTATTTCTTTTACTAAATCCAAATTTAAAGATGAACACCAGAAAATAAAAAAGCACTTTTAGAAAAACGGATATATCGACCAATTCAAATCAACATGGATGAAACATGAAGTATAACATCCATTAACTAAAAAAAAAAACAAAACAAAACAAATCAGTACATAAGGATATGTCAGCAATTTAATCACTTACAGGCTCTCCCCTATGTCCTTCTAGGCCTGGAGATCCAGGCTGTCCAACTTCTCCCTTTAAAATAAAACAGACTTAAATATAATACTAAAAAAAAAAAAGACCTTCCTTTGTATAATAAAAATAATTAATTCAAATAGTAAATTATTATTTTTAATATAAGTAAAATGTAAAACCAATACACATGATCAAGCCTTCATCAAACAAACATCTCTTAAAAATAGTTTCAAACACAGTAAGAAGTGTTGTCAATCCGATATTCCCTCATGCTGTGTCCAACAGACAGCTGTCAAACAGTTTGCCAAGAGATGAGAGAGAGACAAGTGTCTTTTGAATCAGAACAGCAATTACTGGTTGAAGAAGCGCATCAAACAGTAATAAATTGCTATTGTCTAATTGTTAGTACAACTAATAGCCTGAAAACTATTTCAAAGCACTCCAGAATACAGCAGTACCAGATATGATCATATCTTTATGTCCTTACTCAAAATATGTATGATACCAAAAAAATTCTGAAAATTTGAAGAATAATTCCAGAAATAAAAGCACATAAAACAAATGCAAAGAATAATTAATATATATATAAAATAATCTGGTAATAATGAACTTAAAATTACAAAAACTGGACTTGAAGTAACAATGGGTTTAAAGCCATGCTTTTTTCCCACATTTTTTCCCAGAATTAATACTGTAAGGAAACAGGAAAGCTCCAGCAGAAATTTCCTTCAAAGACAGCCTGTTTGTTACTCCTCTAAATATGATTACAGACCCAGAATGAAGCAAACAGATGTTGAAGTCAAGCTGACAAGATGTTTGAATGAAGAATATGACTTCTGTTAATATTATAAAATGAATTAAAAACTAACAAGCATGTCATATTTTTGTACTACAATAATTAAGAAATAGTCAAGAAAATGTCTTTCAGGTTCACACAACTAATATACTGAATTATCTGTATATTGTTTACAAGCATAACAACAGATCAAAATACTCTCCAAATCCATGCTTTATCAACATAATACTTCACTTTAAAGGGCCACCAGTGACAGTTATAATTTTATGTTAAACAACTGCAACTATTACCTGTCCATGTTATCAAACACCAGACAGGAAAAAATCTAGCATTTAATTATTTTTTTCTACTTTCTATAGTACTAGAGAAGTAATTTCTCTACCAACTTAGTAGAGATATCTGTGTGTGTGTATATATATATTGAAAATAAGGCAGGATTCCTTTGAAATAAATTCATGTAGGTAACTAAGCTCCTATCACAGCCAACAGAAGTCTAGTCAAGACAATTGATGGAGGCTTGATCCAGTTGACCAGCTACCAGGAGCTCAATTTCATTGTCTGCACATAGAGGTTTGGTCATATTTGAGATACCCAAGGGTGTCTTGTCTGGGTTCCTACTCCCACTTCAGAAAGTGTCATGGTTTTGGCAGGGATAGAGTTAATTTTCTTCTTAGTAGCTGGTACAGTGCTGTGTTTTGGATTTAGGGTGAGACCAATGTTGATAACACACCGATGTTTTAGTTGTTGCTAGGTACACTTACACTAGCCAAGGACTTTTCAGCTTCCCATGCTCTACCCACTGGGAGGGATGCAGGTGCACAGGGGGCTGGGAGGGGGGCACAGCCAGGACAGCTGACCCCAACTGACCAAAGGGATATTCCATACCATATGACGTCATGCTCAGCATATAAAGCTGGGGGAAGAAGAAGGAAGTGGGGGGATGTTTGGTGTGATGGTGTTCAGCTTCCCAAGTAACCATTACGTGTGATGGAGCCCTGCTTTCCTGGAGATGGCTGAACCCCTGCCTGCCGATGGGAAGCAGTGAATGAATTCCTTGTTTTGCTTTGCTTGTGTGCGCGGCTTTTGCTTTACCTATTAAACTGTCTTTATCTCAACGCACGAGTTGTCCCACTTCTGCCCTTCCGATTCTCTCCCGCATCCCACTGGGGTGGAGTGAGCGAGCGGCTGGGTGGTGCTTAGTTGCCAGCTGTGGTTAAACCACGACAGAAAGGCACTGGCTTTCCATAGGACTTATGTCATATTTGTCAGCTCCCTTAGGATGCTTGGGACATTAATGCATCTCAAATGCACCAGACACTTTTATGTAGGCAACTAAACTGATAACTACAAGTCTGCCTTCTTTGAGCTGAATTGCTCTCCAAACTCCATTGGCATTACTGGTTAGACCTCCATTGACTTTAACGGCAACATAGGTAGCTACTACGTTCATAGACACAAACTTAGCTGAGTGTTTTAAGAATGTCTTTTAAATTGTCTTTGCCTGACATACTTGCAAGTGTCAGAGATACATGCTCTTGTAGATATATATTAATAATGACAATTTGTAGGCAGGTATCAATGAGATTTGAAGATCAAAATTAAATGAATGTAGGAGTATTTAAAACTAAACCAAGTAACAAATAAAGAAAAAGTCCTTCAGTATCGTAGAAATAATCTGCTGTTGGTTGCTGAAGTTAACTTCAGAAAAATGAGCAATAAGAAAATATTTTTTTCCATAATTAAGATTTACAACTTCTTTTACTAATGTATTTTAAAGGTGTAAACTTAAGGGCAGTTAAAAAAAAGCAGTACACCAATTTGACGTAAAATAAAGTTATTCCATTACCTTTTAGCACAATCTCATTAGGCCTTCCAAAGAGAACAAATAAAATAGGAAATACTGAGTTTACCTACCGTAAAAGTTATTTTAGATGTGTTTTCCTAATAAATTTTTGAATTGCGGGATGCTTAGTTACACACTGAAGTTGGGCAATTTTTAGAGTAACAGTGCTGTAGTGTTGTATGTAAGTGATAACTCCCCCCTTTAACTTCAGATTAAGACACCTACATGTGTTTTTCTACCTGAAGTTGTCTAGAGATGCGTTAGGGATCTAAGATCCCATTACACTGAACAGGGGCTTAATTCATTTACCTGATCACAAATGCCTGGTGCTATTTGAGGTGCTCTAGGGCAGCCAAGGCTTCCACATCAGGCTGGCATTTCCCAGTAACACATATTGTTTTCATTTCCAGTAATTCTCCACAGAATAAATTGGGTATATTTAGACCAATAGCAATGCTTTGAAGACTTTGGCAAGATATGAATATACATTTGTACATACCTTGAAACCAGGACTTCCCGGTAATCCATCTTTCCCACTTCTGCCAGGGTCTCCCTGTGGCAACAGTTAACAGTCATTAGTAGGTGAATTAACAAGCAAAAGTTAAAGGCAAGTTGTCTTCACAAAACTTACAGATCGCCCAGGCATTTCTGGAAACCCCGTATCGCCTCTCTCTCCTTTTGAACCCTGAAAAATACAGCAAACAAAAAGTAAGTAGTCCTCAAAGTTTATGTTGCAAATTCAGTACATTTAACCTATAATTAATGTATGCTATTTCTTATTTTGAAAATGTATAAAAGATCTGTTTCCTTCTTAACCCAGGCAGTGGTCAATTAATAACTACCCCCTGTTACGGAAATGTAAATATGCTCTAAAAAATAGAAATGTGAACACAGCCCCTCTTTCAAATTGCTTGAATCTCTAGACCAATAAATACATGAAGAAAATATAACGACGGGTGAAAATGTAACTGTTAACATTGGATGACCAAAATATGCTCTCTGAAATATAAGTATTTACATACAAGCACACACTGCTTTATATAAATTACGGATTAAAACAACATCTCTCTTCCAGGCTGCTATCAGCCTCACTCTGTTCGTGTGCCCCTCTCCTCACTCCCCTTACTCCTCTCCCTCTCTCCCGTTCAGTTATATGGTTCATGTACATTTCTATGTATTAAAAAGCATAGACTTTTTGCAATATAATTATTACATATACCCCATATTAAAGTCATAGACATATTTGCAAAAATATATTTATAAGCATTTTGTGTTATGTTAAAAAGAATTACATCGATCCATTAACAGAAGGATGAAGAGAGTTCTCAAAATATCCAAATAAGCAGAGCACGAGTTTAATATTACTAGACGTAAGTATATCCAGTAACTTCAGTGGAAATTTTTCTGAGTTAGGACTGCAGAATTAAATTCTCTGTGAATACACCTATTATAAAAATATAAATGATATTGTATTGGGTGCAGGTGCCCAGGCGCTGGCAGTGGGGGCTGCAGGGATGGCCTCTGTGAGGAGGGGCCGGGGCTGCCCCGTGCCGGACACAGCCAGGTCCAGCCAACTCCAACTGACCCACCGCAGGGCATGGTTGAGCCCAATAGCCAAGGCAGTGGTGCCTCGGGGGAAATACATTTAAGAAAGGGCAAAAACATGACACAGGTGAAGTAAGGAGTGAGGGAAAAAGCGAGAGAAACAACTCTGCAGACACCAAGGTCAGTGAAGAAGGAGGGGAGGAGGTGCTCCAGGCACCGGAGCAAAGATTCTCCTGCAGCCTGTGGAGAGGACCATGATGGAGCTGTGGTAGCCAAGCTGCAGCCCATGGAGATCCCACGCAGTCCCTGAAGGACTGCAGCCCATAGGAAGGACGCACACTGGAGCAGGGCAGAAGTGTGAGGAGGAAAGAGAGCAGAGAGGAACTGTTATGGACTGACCACCCCACCCTGCTCCCCATTCCCTATCCCATGAAGGAGTGAAATTGAGCCTGGGAAAAAGCAGGGCGGTGGGGGAGAAGGTGTTTTAGTTTTTTTTCTTTGTTTCTCACTATCCAAACCTATTTTAGTTGGCAATAAATTAAATTAACTTTCCCCATGTTTTGCCCATGACAATAATTGGTAGGTGACCTCCCTGTCCTTATCTGGACCCACAAGCTTTTCCATCTTATTTTCTCTCCCTGTACTGTTGAGGAGGGGGAATGAGAGAGTGGCTGGGGGGGCATCAAGCAGCCAGCCAAGGTTACCCCACCACAGACACCAAGAACATTTTGTTTTGTTTTATTTTATTATTATAAATTTACTTGCCTTTTTTCCATATACTCCTGGCACTCCTTGATCTCCTTTAAGACCCCTTTCTCCCTACACAAAATGTGTATGAATAAGTTAATTTTTAAAATAGAAGTAGTTATATACAGACATATATACAAAGTATACATGTATAACAGACATAAAATGAAGCAGGCAAAGAGCTCCATCTGATATAAAAAAATATGCTTAAGACAGTAAATGCAAGCCTTGAATTTTCCAAGCTCTCCTAGGGGAGAAGCCCAGAATGTCCAGCACTGCTGGTGAGACAATCCACAGCTCGCAGGCTTAATGCTTCTGTTTTCAATGGAAGGCACTTTGAGTTTCTGGTCACTTCAATATAGGTAGGTACCTAAGTGAAAATTCAGCTCTTTGAAAAGTGCTGCACTCTTCTGAAGACTTTATTTGAAAAGCTTAAAACAAAAATTTTTAAAAACTAAGAAGTAAATTCAGTTGAGTACTAACACAGAAGAGCAAAAGATACGGTTGATGATGTTTTGAGGAACGTACACGTGAAATAAACTCATTGGGTTAGACCAGAACTATCCTTCAAAATGCTGACACTCAAATTGAATGACTTCAAGAAAATTATATAATTATTTTTATTTCTTTGACACATTATTTGTGATGGAAAAGGTTCTATGTAGTAGTAAAATCAAAGGTCAAAGTAATTAATATAGAATCCCATAGAACAGAACAAAAATGAAAAAAACAGGCGGTTTGATATGTATGTAATGAAGTCCCACGGCATGTATTTTCCTTCAATTTCAGCATCATATCTATTCATTTTATGTATTTCATCAAATGCACTGGTATAATAGTGTATATAAACTTATTTTTCCTTTAAATTAAACTATAGAGCAAGCTGAAACACATGAATCCTGTAACAACAAATATTTAATTTCAACCTTTGGTGCTGGCATCCCATGTAATCCAGGAAAACCAGGTAGTCCACGGTCACCCTAAAAGAGCAAACATATTTTAAATCCTTATATCTAAAATAGTAGTAATATACTGTAATAACATTCATACTCTCAATGATCAACAAATAGTGGAAAGACATTATATATCACCATATCAACTACATGACATTGGTATGCTGACTGATGAGAGTTTGTTGATCTCTAAACAAGATTCAATACATAAAAGAAAAAAAATTAAACAATCACTAAATTTTTTAGAATAAATTTTACTGTAACCCCTCAATAAAGCTTATGGAGCTACAAAAGTAGCAATTTAGCTTTGACAAGAGGAAAAAAGCTTTGAAAAGAGCTTTGATAACCTCTGTAGGAGCTGTGATAATTCTACCATCCATTCCTAATTCCCGAAGAATAAGGAAATTCCCTAAATCTGGGATGGCTTTGCTCCTACCTCTTACTGAAAATATCACAGACCTACTGACCTTACCAAATTTCTCACCAGCTTACTCTGGATGAGTGAAGTATTAAAAAATAAGGTATTAAGTACTTTCTCTAAAAAATAAACAAAATTAAACCAAAATACACTGATAAAACAACTTTGGCACTTTGACAAATGAGTTCTCATTTCAGTGGAAGAAAGAATCCACTTTGGTAAAAGCAGTTAGCAATTGCAAACACAAGCCAAAACATCAATTCTTTTTATTGTCCTCACAGGTGTCAGATATCAGAAATTCCAAAACTACCTGACTTGAAACAATAAAAACAAGCTTAGTTGCTTGTTTCAGTAGACTGAATCTACTTGACTCAGGACAAAGAGCCGAATAATTTTTGGACAATCACAACGTTTTCTCTCTGTTAATATCTAACTTTATATTGAGCAATATATTTCAATTTGTTTATTACATTTCAATCATAAAGGAGGAACAGTAAATTATGCTCAGGAAGTTATTTTATATAATATTTCAAGTTCTACGACAAAGGGTAGAAGAAAGACAAAGGGTAAAAGAAAACACGTCTCAGTGGTATTTATCAAAATCATTCATGTCTAAGCAGATTTGGAGAGGTCTGTCACATACTCACAGAAGACAGGAACACAACCACAGGAAGGATAGCTTGTGGGTTAATGCTATCAAAATATCTCTCAACAAGGAAGTATTGAACACAGGCAATGGAATGGAGTTCAAAAAATCAGCAAAGCTGATAAAATAAACACTTCATGCATCCACTGCTTCTTAGTGAAAAAGAATGGAGCCTCGATTTCTGCTCAGAAGTAGCGATTCAATTATTGGATAAACTAAAACACTTGGCAATGGAAACAGTTAAATTAGTTGCTATAGAAACTTTACAAGTAATGGAATGAAATTAAGAGATGAAAATTCGGGCTGAATCATCAGGAAAAAAAATGTAATGGCAAGACCTATTTTACAATGGAAGAAGTTTTCTAAAACAGTGGTGGAAGCCCTATTTCTTGGCACGTTTTAAACAAGGCTGGACTGAGCATTAGGAAATATTCTATCTGTCACAACCCTGCACTGCCAGGAGAATTGAGTTTTTCATCATCAGTATCTTACTTTCTGCACGTGGCACAATACTGACTGACCAATTAGATTAACATCTAAGATCAATTAGATTAAGATGCCTAAAGCACAGAACACATAAGCACATTTTTCAACTCTAATCATGCATTTGAG